TTTTTAGTTGTGTCTCTGCCGGATTTTGGTATCAGGATGATGTTGGTCTCGTGAAAAGAGTTACAGAGGATTCCCTCTTTTTGTATTGTTTGGAATAGTTTCAATAGGAATGGTACTAGCTCCTCTTTGTATGTCTGGTAGAATTCAGCTGTGAACCCATCTGGACCTGGACTTTTTTTGGTTGGTAGGCTATTAATTCCTGCCTCAACTTCAGACCTTGTTATTGGTCTATTCAGGTTTTCAACTTCTTCTTGGCTTAGTCTTGGGAGTGTGTAAGTGTCCAGGAATTTATCCATTTCTTCCAGATTTACTGGTTTATGTGCATAGAGCTGTTTGTAGTAATCTCTGATGGTAGTTTGTATTTCCGAGGAATCAGTGGTGATCTCCTCTTTATTGTTTTTTTATTGCATCTATTTGATTCTTCTCTCTTTTCTTTTTTATTAGTCTAGCTAGCAGTCTATTTTGTTCTTTTCAAAAAAACCAGCTCCTGGATGTATTTTTTTTTTGAAGGGTTTTTTGTGTCTCTATCTCCTTCAGTTCTGCTCTGATCTTAGTTATTTCTTGTCTTCTGCTAGCTTTTGAGTTTTTTTGATCTTGCTCCTCTAGCTCTTTCAATTTTGATGATAGGGTGTCGATTTTAGAACATTTCTTGCTTCTCATGTTGGCATTTATTGCTATAAATTTCCCTCTAGGCACTGCCTTAAATGTGTCCCACAGGATCTGGTACACTGTATCTTCATTCTTGTTGGTTTCGAAGAACATTTTTATTTCTGCCTTCATTTCATTGTTCATCCATTCGTCATTCAGGAGAAAGTTCTTCAGTTTTCATGTGATTGTGCGGGTTTGAGTACTTTTCTTAATCCTGAGTTCTAATTTCATTGCGCTGTGGTCTGAGAGACTGTTATGATTCCCGTTATTTTGCATTTGCTGAGGAGTGATTTACTTCCAATTATGTGGTCAATTTCGGAGTTATGTGCAATGTGGTCCTGAAAAGAATGTGTATTCTGTGAATTTGGAGTGGAGTGTCCTGTAAATGTCTATTAGGTTCACTTGGTCCAAATCTGCATTCAAGTCCTGGATATCCTTGTTGACTTTCTGTCTCGTTGATCTGTCCAATATTGTCAGTGGAGTGTTAAAGTCTCCCACTATTATTATGCAGGAGTCTAAGTCTCCTTGTAGGTCATTAAGAACTTGCTTTATGTATCTGGGTGCACATATATTTAGGATAGTTAGCTCTTCTTGTTGCATTGATCCTTTTACCATTATGTAATGCCCTTCTTTGTCTCTTTTGATCTTTGTTGGTTTAAAATCCATTTTATCAGAAACTAGGATTGCTACCCCTGCTTTTGCTCTCCATTTGCTTGGTAAATCTTCTTCCATCCCTTTATTTTGAGTCTATGTGAGTCTCTGCATGTCAGATGGGTCTCCTGAATATAGCACTCCGATGGGTCTTGACTTTTTATCCAGTTTGCCAGTCTGTGCTTTTTGACTGTGGCATTTAGGCCATTCACATTCAACATTAATACTGTTATGTTTGAATTTGATCCTGGTTGTTTTGCCTATTAGTTGATGTGGCTTCCTCCTTGAGTCATTGTTCTTTACCATTTGGTATGTTTTTGCAGTGGCTGGTACTGGTTGTCCCATTGCCTGTTTAGTACTTCCTTAACTCTTCTAAGGTAGGCTTTGTAGTGACAAAATCTCTCAGCAATTGCTTGTCTGTAAAGGATTTTATTTCTCCTTCACTTATGAAGCTTAGTTTGGCTGGATATGAAATCCTGGGTTGAAGTTTCTTTTCTTTAAGGATGTTGAATATTGGCCCCCACTCCCGTCTAGCTTGGAGGGTTTCTGCTGAGAGATCCCCTGTGACTCTGATGATCTTTCCTTTGTGGGTGACTCAACCTTTCTCTCTGGCTGCCCTTAGGATCTTGTCCTTCATTTCAACCCTGGTGAATCTGACAATTATGTGCCTTGGGGTAGCTCTTTTTGAGTAGTATCTCTGTGGTGTTCTCTGTATTTCCTGGATTTGAATGCTGGCCTGCCTTGTTAGGTTGGGAATATTCTCTCGGATAATATCTTCTTGGATTCATTCTCCCTGTCACATTCAGGTATGCTGATCAAGCATAGATTAGGTCTTTTCAACAATCCCATAGTTCTTGGAGGCTTTGGTCTTTTTTTTTCACTCTTCTTTCTCTCATCTTGCCTTTCACTTTATTTCATTGATTTGATCTTCTATCTCTGATATCCTTTCTTCTGCTTGATCAATTTGGCTGTTGAAACTTTTGTATGCCTCACTAAGTTCTCGTACTGTGTTTTTCAGCTCCATCAAGGCATTTATGTTCTTCTCTTAGCTGGTTATTCTAGTTATCATTTCGTCTTTTTTTAAAGGTTCTTAGTTTCTTTGCATTGGGTTAGAAAATGGTCTTTTAACTCAGAGAATTTTGTTGTTACCCATCTTCTGAAGCCTACTTCTGTCAATTCGTCAGATTCATTCTCGTTTTTTGTTCCCTTGAGGGTGAGGAGTTGTGATCCCTGGGAGGAGGAGAAGTGTTCTGTTCTTTGATAGTTTCATCTATTTGCGCTGGTTTTTTCCCATCTTCAGGGATTTCTCTCTCTCCCTTTGATCTTTGAAGTTGGTGATTTCAGGAGTCGTCTCTGAGTGGACTTTTTTTCTACTGAGGTTGGAGCTGTATCTTTTTTGGCCTGTAGAGGGCGTTGCTGGGCTCTCTCAGGTTGAGTCAGGTTGTTGGGTGGATGGTCCTTCCCTGAAGTTTGTCTGCAGGTGAGATTAGCCCCGCCTTCCCAATGGCTCCTCTCCCATAGATCAATCTTCCTGGTTGGGGTCAAACTGGTGGATTTGCTGCCAAGCTCTCTAATGAGGCTTTCAGTTTGAGTTCTGCGGAGGTGGGGCCTGCCAGGCCTTATGGTCTGTTTCCCTGCTTTCAACTCTGCCTCCCTCAGTGGGATGGTCTGTCCTGCTGGCCTTAGTCCAAACTGCCGCCCAGGTCCGTCAGACAACTTGTCGCGCTCGGCAGGAGCTGCTGTTCATATTTGCATCAACAACCTACAGCGCCCCATGGTCTGGCAGGGCTCTTGTGGACTGTAGATTGTAGGAGGGATGAGGTAAGCACAGGATCCGAATCGGAGCACCAAGGGGGCAAAGTCCCCCAACCCTCCGAGCCAGCTGAACTCAGGTGGGGACATGCCCCCGTCTTGATAGTGAATTCATTTGTGACAAAGGTGCAAAGGACACATACTATGGAAAAAAACAGTGTCTTCAATAAATGGTGCTGAGAAAATTGGATATCCATATGCAGAAGAATGAAATTAGACCCCTATCTCACATCATATACAAAAATCAAATCAAAGTGGATTAAAGAATTAAATCTAAAGCCTGACACTATGAAACTACTAAAAGAAAATATTGGGGAAACTATCCAGGACATGGGACTGGGCAACACTGTATTAAGTAATACCGCACAGCAAAGGCGACCAAGGCAAAAATGGACAAATGAGATCACATCAAGTTAAAAGCTTCTGCACAGCAAAGGAAACAATCAACAAAGTAAAGAGACAACCCAAAGAATGGAAGAAATCTGCAAATCATCCATCTCACCAGGGATTAATAACCAAAATATATAGGAAGCTCAAATAGCACAATAGGAAAAAATCTAATAACCCAATTAAAAAATGGACAAAAAAATCTAAATAGATATTTCTCAAAAGAAGGCATGTTAATGGGAAACAGGTGTATGAAACGGTACTCAACATCACTGATTGGAGAAGTGCAAATCAAAACCATAATGAGATATAATCTTATCCCAGATAAAATGGCTTTTATCCAAAAGACAGGCAATAACAAATGCTGGCAGGGACATAGAAAAGGAAACCCTTGTATTCTGTTGGTAGGAATGTTAATTAGTACAACCACTATGGAGAACAGTTTGAAGGATCCTAAAAAACTAAAAATGTAACTACCATATGGTTCAGCAATCTCACTGCTAGGTATGTACCCAAAAGAAATCAGTACATTGAAAAGGTAACTATGTTCCCATGTTTATTGCAACATTATTAACAACAGCCAAGATTTGGAAGCCACCTAAATGTCCATGAAGAGACAAATGGATAAAGTAAATGTGGTACATACACATAATGGAATAATATTCTGCCATAAAAAAAGAATGAGATCCTGTTATTTGCAACAGCATGGATGGAACTATAAGTCACTACATCAAATGAAGTAAGTCAGGCAAAGGAAAACAAACTTAAAATGTTCTTATTCATTTTTGGAAACTAAAAATTAAAACAATTAAACTCAAGAAAATAGCATAATGATGGTTATAGGAGACCAAGAGAGTTGGGAAAAGTGGAGATGATTAATGCATACAAAAAAACATAGTTAAATAGAATGGAAACAATCTAGTATTTGATAACACAACATGGTTATTACAGTTTTTATTTCAATACTTTTTGGGGTACAAGTGGCTTCTGTTACATGGATGAATTATATAATAGTTAATTCTGAAATTTTAGTGCACCCATCAGCCAAGTGGTGTTCACTGTACCTAAAGTGTAGTTTTGTTTATTTTTAAAACCCTGGCTCCCCTCCCAACCTCCCCCTTCTGAGTCTTTTTTTTTTTTTTTTTTTTTTTTTTT